AGAAGGAGAGGGGGGAAGACAGAGGGAGAGAGGAAGATGCTGAGAGAGAAGGAGAGAAAGTGAGAGGGAGAAGACAGATGAACAGAGAGATGGGGAGAGAGATGTTGAGAGAGAGGGAGAGAAGGAGAGGGGGGAAGACAGAGGGAGAGAGGAAGATGCTGAGAGAGAAGGAGAGAAAGTGAGAGGGAGAAGACAGATGAACAGAGAGGGGGAGAGAGATGGTGATAGAGAGGGAGAGAAGGAGAGGGGGGAAGACAGAGGGAGAGAGGAAGATGCTGAGAGAGAAGGAGAGAAAGTGAGAGGGAGAAGACAGATGAACAGAGAGGGGGAGAGAGATGTGGAGAGAGAGGGAGAGAAGGAGAGGGGGGAAGACAGAGGGAGAGAGGAAGATGCTGAGAGAGAAGGAGAGAAAGTGAGAGGGAGAAGACAGATGAACAGAGAGGGGGAGAGAGATGTTGAGAGAGAGGGAGAGAAGGAGAGGGGGGAAGACAGAGGGAGAGAGGAAGATGCTGAGAGAGAAGGAGAGAAAGTGAGAGGGAGAAGACAGATGAACAGAGAGAGGGGGAGAGAGATGCTGAGAGAGAGGGAGAGAAAGGGAAATACAGGGAGAGAGAGAGCTCTGAAAGAGGGAGAGGGGGGGAGAGATGCTGAGAGGGAGAGAAAGGAGAGAGAGAGGTTTCCTGACAACTACTTTTTCCTTCTCTCCTATCTGAAGGGGAAATCATGGAGCAGTTCTTAGCATAGATAGACATGAAAGCAAGTCAAAAAAAGGTGTTTTGTTTTTTTTAGAAAAAGCCATGCAAAGCCCAGGCAAAGTGACAGGAATGATGGGACGTTTCCTTGAGTGGTGGCTGTGTAAGGGACAAGGAGTGATGGTAGATGCCACCTCGGGCTGGATAACCTTGTCCCTGGCTCCTCAGCAGTTCTCTAGTTTTGAAAAGTAAATCAGGGCATTGTTTAACAAGGTGGAGGCAGACCTTGGGAGGGGTAGGAGTTGGAGGGAGATCCGGGACGCCTGGTTTCAAAGGGAGGCAAATATTAAAAGCAAAGAACTATTAATACAAGCCTAATTATCAAAGGCTTTGATGGGAATTGCTCGCAAATGACTCTTAATAAGCCCGGAAAGCTACCCCTGGGAGAAGGGGAGAAGGATAATTGTGAGCTGAGAGGAAAAACAGCACTTTGTTCCTAAAATCTTAACCTGAATGACCTTTAGCTGAAGTCTGAGTGATGGTGTAGGCACGTAATTTTGTGACACGCTAAGGACCAACATCTGGAACATCTGGGGCTATAACTGTTAGGGTTGGCAAGTCTAAGCAATAAGCTCCTTTTGCTTGGGAGGGGTGGGAAAATCAAAAAGTTGGGGAGAGGGAAAGGAAATAGGATTATCCATTGGTGATGTAACCCTAAGGATAGATCTGTTAAAAGAGCCCTGGATGTTCTCTGGCTTGTTTTGAAGGAGAAAAAAAAAACTTTAATTCAGACTAGGGCAGATGCTGACAATGATAAACACTCAAAGAGCCATTTGGACCTGTTTCCCACAAAAAAGAAAACACCGGGAGCCACAAAAACCTTCCCATGCCTGATTATTTCCTTAGTGCCCACAAAACTAGCATATGTGTTTGAATTAAAGGTTCTGTTTTCTTCTGAAACTTTTCTCTTATTTATCCATGGTTGGCCTACTGGGGGTTGAAAAGCTCAATAAATCGTGTGCTCTCTGGTGTCGCATATTGGCAGTTGTGATACATATTTTGAGTGCCGGAGCCACAGCAGAGGAATGAAAGAGCCACATGCGGCTCCAGAACCATGAGTTTCTGACCCCTAGGGACTAGGGAAACCACTCAAAATAACATAAAACTGCTTTGGGGTTCCAATCTAACAACAAACATTAACTTTAGCCCCGAATGGAAAATATTCCTGTACAAAGTATCAGAGTTCCTTGTCCCATCTAACAATATAACAATTATATGGGCTGCAAAACGAAGTATATCAGTAAAAGGAGGAAGAAAACTACAGGGCACAGAGCACTGTCTTTGTCACTTTGTGGGTTAATAATGAAAGAGGACATCTTTTCAAGTCAGAAAAGCAGTTAACTATGGGGAATTTCTAGTCTGCTAAACCTTTCTCCTATTAAGAAGCTGTCAAATTGAGTATCAATGAGTACAAGATACAGTTGGAAGGGACCTTGGAGGTCTTCTAGTCCAGCCCATTGCTCAGGCAGGAAACCCTGTACCATTTCAAACAAATGGTTACCCAATCTCTTCTTTAAAACTTCCAGTGTTGGGGCATTCACAATCCCTGGAGGCAAGTTGTTCCACTGATTAATTGTTCTGTCGGGAAAATTTTCCTCAGTTCTAAGTTGCTTCTCTCCTTGATTATTTTCCATCCATTGCTTCTTGTCCTACCTCCAGGGGAGAATAGGTTGATTTCTTCTTTGTGGCAGCTCCTTAGATATTGGAACACTGCTCATGTCACCCTAGTCCTTCTTTTCATTAAACTAGACATTTCCAATTCCTGCAACCGTTCTTCATATATTTTAGCTTCCAGTCCCCTAATCATCTTTGTTGCTCTTCTCTGCACTCCTTTCTAGAGTCTCAACACCTTTTTTATATCGTGGTGACCAAAACTGGATGCAATGTTTCAAGTGTGGCCTTACCAAGGCATTATAAAGTGGTATTAAGACTTCACATTATTTTAGTATCTAAGGATTATGTTCCATCATGGAAAATGTGAGACCCAAATTTAGATGATTGACAGCCATCTCTCCCCTACATACAAATACAAATACATGAAATGTGAAAAAAGCAGTAGATGATATGTGTATTCCTAAGAAACAAATTACAGAATAAACAATAGCATAGCAATTACTGGCAAAACTAGAAAGTTGACTCTAAATCTAAAGTAGATCTAATTCTCCTAAGATTTAGATAAGTTAACCAGAGTCAAGGTTTTGTTAAATAAGTAGGGATGAAAAAGAGTACATTCAGCCAAAAATAACAAAGAAGCAGCACATCTTCCCCACACAGCTAGGCAGATACGGTACATTTCAACACAACAGAAAACGGAGAACACTATTTCTAATGGCCATAACTCCACAACAGTTTGTGGAATCTGCCTATTGTTTCAAAATTTTAGATAGCAATAGCAATAGCAGTTAGACTTATATACCGCTTCATAGGGCTTTCAGCCCTCTCTAAGCGGTTTACAGAGTCAGCATATTGCCCCCAACAACAATCTGGGTCCTCATTTTACCCACCTTGGAAGGATGGAAGGCTGAGTCAACCCTGAGCCGGTGAGATTTGAACAGCTGAACTGCAGAACTGCAGTCAGCTGAAGTAGCCTGCAGTGCTGCATTTAACCATTGCGCCACCTCGGCTCACCTCACCTGTACTAGTGAGTTCAAAAAATTAAAAAGCAAGATCGACTGCTTTTTGTTGAGATTATAGCAATAGCACTTACTATATATACAGCTTCATAGTGCTTTACAGCCCTCTCTAAGCGGTTTACAGAGTCAGCCTATTGCCCCCAACAATCTGGGTCCTCCTTTTACCGACTTCACAAGGATGGAAGGCTGAGTCAACCTTGCGCCTGGTGGGATTTGATCAGCCAAATTGCTGGCAGGCGGTGATCAGCAGAAGTAGCCTGCAATACTGCACTCTAACCACTGCGCCACCGCGGACTATGCTCTCTGTATCGTAAACTTCCTTTCTTGGGATTGATAACTAGGCATGGATTAACAGTACATTTTGCCTTTTAATTTAAATTGATGATTAGCAAATGTTTCGAGTCATCTTTAAAGAAGTTAATAGGGATTTGATTTAGCTTAGGTTTGATTTATTCTTACAGCCACAAAGGGCTTGGACACTGAAGGCTAAATTTGAAAAAAAAAAAAATCCAGATGAGTCAGGATCAATGAAAATGGACCAGACAATCCCTGATTGCTTTTGCATACAAGTACTGCATCATAGATCTTCCAGGGAGTTGTAAAGCTGAGCCAAGTGAAGACAATTTTGCAGCATTTCTTCTGGAGCTGCAGATTGGGCATTTTTCCAAAAGACAACTTGTCCTGTCCTGGGCTCTTGGGATTTCCTAGTTCCCTTTTGCAACAACGACACTGTTGCATCTGAATGCCATGTCTTCCACCACCTTCCCTTGTTGTTCTGTTCTTGTTTTCCCTTTTATTTTCCTTTTGGTGAAAAGAAGTTTAATCAGGGAATAACATTATGGTGGCAACTGAACATTGACTGGCTGACCTTTCTTTGTTCTATTATTGCCTGGTTGGGCGAAGTGCTGGTTGGTTCCAGGAATGGACAAAGAGCAGCACTTGTTTCATTATTTCTGATCACTGGGACTGGAACATGTCTTGCTCTTCCAAAATAAGTAATCCATAGAGATGGTTTGGATTAGTTAACCTAAATGTCAAGTGAAATGACTGTTTCTGAGCTGAATCAATTAAGATGAAGGTGCCAGAAGCAATCAAGCAAGGGTACTTACAGAAGTGACCCTGTCTTCTTGGAAAAATCTGCAAGCAGGATGGAGGCCATCCAGAGGCTCATACTCACCTTGATCCCATGAACTGGGTTTGGCAGAAACGCTGCCCACAGCTCTCTGCTGGTGTTTCTCAGACTTGGCTTGCTCAAAAAGGATCTCCTCTTGCTCAGCACAAAACAGTATGGACATAACATGTGGTTCCCATGATCATTTTTTGTTTGTATTTTATTAATTTGTCAAACATGTACAAGATAGCAGGTATTAATCTAAACATGGACGTGAATGGAAGAAATGAATACAAATAAATGGGGACAGTAGGANGAGCCGGTGAGATTTGAACAGCCGAACTGAAGAACTGCAGTCAGCTGAAGTAGCCTGCAGTGCTGCATTTAACCACTGCGCCACCTCGGCTCTTCTAGAAGTGGAATAGGGAGAGTATCCTTTGAACATGGGTGTTGGAAAAGACTTCTTAGAATACCATGGATAGCCAAGAAATAAAACCCATGGAACATACAGTATCAACCACTTGAGTTCCCATTTGAGGTACTAGGCTCAAATTCTCCTACTTCAGACACATTGTACAAAGATCTAGCTTTCTGGAAAAGACTCTGATGCTGGGAAAGAGAGAGGAAAAAAGAAAAAAAAGTTGATGGATTCAGACCCAAAAGACGAGTTTAGAGATAGATTGTCATGGAGTAAATCTGTCCAGTTGCTAAGAGTCAATACTGATTTGATGGCATATAATCAGTCAATTATCTCATTTTCATTGCTTAACATTTCCTAAATATATACACGTGAGGATTTTGTATTCCTAAACCTCATTAAGTCCATCTCATTGAGAATCCCAAACCTTTACAACCTCACAATGCCAAAATTCTTCAGGAAAAAAGGCAATTTTTAGTGCATGGTGTTTGATACTTTATGACAACCTTTTCTTGTATTGGTGAAATTCTCTAATACTGAATAGCCTTGGCTTGTTCAGCAGCTTCATTCTTCAAATCTCCACCGATCTTCTCAATACACTGTGTAATAAAATATTTTCTTTTATGGACAAATAATATCACATTTACCATTCCTATGTATAAGCGAACTGTGTTCCTGGAGGGTATTATTTAAAGTATTATCATAATACACCTTTCATTTGATGCAATTGAATAAGGGTAAGGAGAGAGATGAACGCTTGCTTGAAAAGGAGTAGTAACTTCACAATTTATCATTCAGACATGTGTCGTCCATTGTTTTTAAAATAAGATACTGTCTCATAGGAGAATTACTATGGTTTTTTGGGCTTAATTATTTCCTAATTATTATTTTTTTCTATGTAGTTTTCCACTAGCTATATTCATTAGTATTTTATATCTCTAGTCTTTTCTTCCTATTTCAATAATTATGTAATACCGGTAAATATTGGGCAAATGTTACTTTTGGTATGCCTTCTTGAACCTTCTTTTGATTGTAAGGCTGGTTGGTTGAACTTGATCTAAAACGAGTCTTTAAGAGAAAGCATAGCATGCTTTAGATTTCCTGTGCTAGGCAGGGGATTGTACCTTGTGGTTTAAATGATCTTTTCAGACCTGGGCTTCTGTAGGATCCTTTTTCACATAGATATGCAATGTAACTTTACTGCAGATTTTTTTTGGGGGGGTGGGAGGAGGAAACGTGGAATGAGTCCTTGTGTGTGTTTCAGCTTAACATTAGAAGACTTTAAAAAAAAACCATCCAGGGAAAATTCTGTTTTTAAGGTTCACCTAAAAGATGTGTGATTGGTTATAAATGGAACATGAGCTATTATTTCAATTTAATAAAATTATTTTATTTTATTTTATTCTGTTTCAGGAACAGCATCTGTAGCTGTTGCTGGTCTCCTTGCTGCACTCCAGATAACTCAAAATAAACTGTCTGATCATATAATACTCTTTCAGGGAGCTGGAGAGGTTTGTTCATCTATTCTTTTTTCATTGCTATGCCATTTTTTTTTGACGAAAGAGGTGTTTCTGTGCCATGTTTCTAGTTTGGCCAGATATTTATTTATTTATTTGATTGGCTGTTTGCCTATTTATTGATTTTCTGCTGCTTAGGGGCAGCAGTTGTTGGAGCCCCATGTCTTAAATGACCTTAGATTAGAATTGTGTGGCTGTGTGGTTCAAATTGACAAGATTCTGGCCTGAGTATTTGTTCTGACCCCACTCCTCCGTCCAGTAACGAAAGCCAAGACAAGCGTAAAGTGGAATGTCTTTTAATAACAAGACCAGACTCTCGGTGGCTGAAAGCCAAATAAACA